AAATTGGGTGGGGGAGAAAGAAGGGGAGGCGGTTTCCCCTCAGGGGCTGGGGGAGGGGTCGAAGAGCCTACCTCGCGGGGCGGGTGTGTGTGTGAATTCCTCATATACTGTATTCCTGTGCTGTTTGTAATCCAATTGGGAAGGACTCGCCTCCTAATAGGAGAGAAGTCAATCGGCGCATAATTAGTGGGCAAATCCAACACCAGTAAAATCTCTCTCTTTCTCTCTCTGTATTCCTGAAGAAACAAAAATAACCCTAATTCTCCTTTTTTTAAGAAGCTGAAATGTGAAGGCACAAAGTTGACCAGTGGAAAAAGAGGCCCCTCAATGAATGCGGTTTTCTCTGTGGGATTAAAACAGGTTAATAAATACCTCTTTGGTCAGGGCAGTGGCTAGCCTTTGAAAAGGCAGGAGGGTCCCAAGGCCTCCGTCTTCTGACAGAAGAGGAGACATGGCCTTGAAAGCCATTTCCCTGAGCCACGTCCCTAGTGGGACACCCCTGAAGGACTTGGTGAAATTCCAGCCGGGCGACTCTTTGGGATCAGCTTCAGAAAAAGCAGTTTTTCCTTCAGCGGTTCTTGCCTCCAAGAACATGAATTTGGGGAAAGAGGGTGAAAGAGGAGAAATCCTCCAGTCCACTTTAATCGTGGGTGGCCTCCATGCGGATGGGCTCCTGGACTTGACTGCGATCACACCAGCTTCGGAAGAAGGGAGGCCACTTTCCCCCTGTGTGAAGCCAGAACATGGGCTACTGGCGAGGAATGCCTTCCTCAAACGTAAAGCTTGTGAGCCTTTATCTCTTGAGTCTCCAGCCAAAATCTTTTCAAGAATGAAGACTAGGGCTGCTCTGGCCAGACAGCAGAAGAAACCTCTAGAAAATAAACTGTTAGCCGTCAACAGCACCACAGATTATATCCTCACACCTGAAAGGCATCGGTTCTCTTTGGAAAGCAAGAAATTGGAAGCTGAAGGTGAAAAGCCCAAGGAATCGCAAGCTGAGGAGCCACTTGGCGAGGCAAACGTAGAAAAAGGTTTGTTCTTATCTTTGTCCTGCTGCTTAGCAGAATCTTGTCCATATTGGGATCGTTTTAGTATGATTGGAACTATGGCTGTTCTGTCTAGGGCTCCCAGATAGGAGAATCAGTAAAGTGTAGTGGATAAAGTGCAACTTGGATTTGGGAGAGCTGGTCTCAAATCCCTCCTTGGCCCCAGAATCTCTCTGTCTTTCTCTCTCAGAGAAAGAGAGAGAGAGAGACAAAGGTATGTGGCATTCTTGAAATTCTCAGAACCCCTTTGAGAGTCAACATAAGTCAGAAGTTGATTGACCACACATAACAATACCCAGAGAGGTGTGGTGGCAACTGACCAGCACAACTCCAACCAAGCTTCTGCAAAATACAGTTTTATTTTAGATTCTTCCTCCGTTTTCATGCCAACTAGTTTTCCCATTTCACCTCGTGAAGAATCCTCTGTTGGTTTTTTTCTCTTACTTTCCCTTCCTGTACTTTTGTTGTTGTTGTTTAGCCGTTAAGTCGTGTCCGACTCTTTGTGACTCCATGGACCAAAGAACAACAGGCCCTCCTCTCTTCCACTACTTCCCGGAGATGGGTCAAATTCATGTTGGTCACTTCGATGACACTGTCCAACCATCTCATCATCTGTCGTCCCCTTCTCCTCTTGCCTTCACCCTTTCCCAATTTCAGGGTCTTTTCCAGGGAGTCTTGTCTTCTCATGAGATGGCCAAAGTATTGGAGCCTCAGCCTCAGGATCTGTCCTTCCAGGGAGCACACAGGGTTGATTTCCTTCAGAACGGAGAGGTTTGTTCTCCTTGCAGTCCAGGGGACTCTCAAGAGTCTCCTGCAGCACCACAATTCAAAAGCATAAATTCTTCGGCGGTCAGCCTTCTTTATGGTCCAGCTCTCACTTCCATACATCGCTACTGGAAAAACCCTTGTTTTAACTATTCAGACTTTCGTCAGCAAGGTGAAGTCTCTGCTTTTTAAGATGCTGTTGAGGTTTGTCATCGCTTTCCTCCCAAGAAGCAGGTGTCTTTTAATTCTGCTGTCACCATTTGCAGTGATCATGGATCCCAAGAAAGTAAAATCTGTCACTGCCTCCATATCTTCCCCTTCTATTTGTAATCTAATCGTCTGAGTTGAATTCGCCCATTCCCATCCATTTTAGTTCACTGACGCCCAGGATGTCAATGTTTATTCTTGCCATCTCCTGTTTGACCACATCCAGCTTACTAAGGTTCATAGTTCTTACATTCCAGGTTCCTATGCAGTATTTTTCTTTTGCAGCATTGGACTTTCCTTTCACTTCCAGGCGCGTCCACAGCTGAGTGTCCTTTCGGCTTTGGCCCAACCACTTCATTAGCTTTGGAGCTACTTGTCCTTGTCCTCTGCTCTTCCTGAGTAGCATGTTGGATGCCTTCTGACCTGAGGGGCTCATCTTCCAGCATCATATCTTTTAGCCTTTTGTTTCTGTCAATGGGGTTTTCTTGGCAAAGATACTGGAGTGGCTTGCCAGTTCTTGCTCCAGGTGGATCACGTTGAGTCAGAACTCTCCACTCTGACCTGTTCGTCTTGGGTGTCCCTGCACAGCAGAGCCCTTCGCTTCTCTGGATGACTCAAGCCCCTTCGCCACAACAAGGCAGCAATCCATGAAAGGGTCTTCCTGTACTACTTTGTAGTAACTTGTTCCCCCCACACAACACAAACACACCATGCATGCCCCAGAGTGTTGCTTTGGGAGGCAGGTGCAGGTTCTCCTGGAAACAACAGGCAAAAGGTCAATGAGGCTCCAACCACAGTGGTTTGGCAGGAAAGGAGGTGCTTGATGGGTGAATGAGTAAGGAATCCAAGGTCTGTCACACCTTGTTCCAGGGAATCCCTTGATTTGCTTGTAAGCTTGTCTAGGTTTCCACAGCTATGATTCTATGCTTTTATGAAATTTTTAAGTAGCGAACCTTGTAGAGTCTGCATTGTGATCTCTTGTGAACTACTTACGAGAAACTTTACTTCTTGTTGGATCTGAGAACCATTTCTTCTATTGCAGGGCCCTATCTTACTGCAGGGAACAAAATTTGTGCAGCCACAGGCTCTGAGGTGTTGGAATCCCCTCACAAGTTCTTCTCACGCGTGAAACAGAAGTTGCAGCAGAAAGGTTTGCAAAGAGGTTCCTCTACCCGCCAGCCGTGATACATGGTTGCATCCATCTTTGCACTGGAATTGTTATATTTGTCTTTCCATGTCCACAAGATGCAGTAGAAGCATCTTGTGGGCACGGAAGGAAGCATTCATTCCTCACGAAGAAAGCAATGTTTCTTTTTATTCGCGAAGGCTTTCACGGCTAAAGAAAGCAATATTTCTTTTTATTCGTGAGGGCTTTCACGGCTGGGATCTAATGGTTGTTGTGGGTTTTTCAGGCTCTTTGGCCATGTTCTGAAGGTTGTTCTTCCTAACGGGACCCAAGCAAACTACTACACCAGAGCACAGAGTGCTGTCCTCTGAAGATGCCCATGGCCACAGAGACTGGCGAAACATTAGGAAGAACAACCTTCAGAACATGGTCAAAGAACCCGAAAAACCCACAACAACATATGTTTCTTTTGCCTGTCAAACTCAAGTAGAAATCTCTGAAGTGGTTTGCGTTGGCGTTTCTTTTACTACATTGCACTGCAGGCCTTATTTAAAAAAGGGGGTGTCACGTCATTGGTTGGTGACTTTGGGGTTCAGGTTATGAAATATTAGACTGAAAGCTTTCTCTCACCTTGCCACCTACCCCTTGCTCTCCCCTGCTAGTCCCCCTTCCATCAAGCATTAAAGTGCCATGTACTATGTGACACTGTCAGTCTTGCATATTGAATACAGCCGTCGCAAAAAAGATCCTAATTTGTGTGTGCTTCATCTCTCGTGATGGCTGGTAGATCAGAAGAATTAACCGTTCTCTCAGCCAGAAGTCTAATTTGAGAAAGAAGCAAGATCCTTTTGCTAGGATCCTGTGTTAATGAATGGTCCTGTGTTAGTGAAGGCTGGAGCTTTTAAGAACATCTGTCCCTCTGTCTCGTTCTGTGGTTTATGTTTCTTCCGTACAAGTCGATAACGCTGCTCAAAGAACATAGATGAGATGCTTTGATCACCAAAGCTCAGAATTTTATGAGCTCATAGCAGTCAATTCTCTGTGGGGAAGAAGCTAGGAAGGGGTGAATTCACAGTGCCACCGTGGGAAGGCAGCAGTTGTCAAAATGCCTAGCCCTCAACCCCTAGGAAAGTGAGGTATATTTTGCTCCCCCCCCGCAAAAAAAAGCCTTGACTCCTCTCAGGGCATTGGAGGCACCTCTGCTGTGTTTGCGGTGACTCCTGTGACATCTGGTCCCGAGGCTCTCTCTGTGAGGGGACGTTTGGTGGCTTTCCCAGGTAGTGTTCCTTTTGCCAATGTTTGCAGAGCAGCCACGTGGTCTTGTCATGCCATCCTGTGCCAAGCTTAGCAGACTGGACCCATATGCCTCTCTCTGTTGAAGAAGCCCCAGGTTCCTTCTCCCTGTCCCAGAGCCCTGTTGCTTAGTATAGTAAATTGCACTAGATTAGGCCCACTGAGTCAAAGAGGATTTGGTGCGTCAGCTTCTCCGTAAGTTCCACTGATGCAAATGGGCCTGCTCTACCTGGGGGCTTGCTGTGCTAATGAGAGTAGCAGTTAGAGGAGGCTCATTTAAATCAGTGGAACCTACTGAAGAGTAGACTCACCAGATCCTCATTGATTCACTGGGCCAGCTCTAGTATGATTTACTACCTCAAGCAACAGAATTGTGGCCCTAAAGTCCTCAGCCACCAACCTGGCTTTTGTATGCGAAGGTGGTGCTTTGTGACAGCTGTGGTTCTTTTGGAGGGAGGTGCCCAAGAGGGCAGGCAAAGTCTGTTGAATAGAGCCATCCATTCATGAAAATGGGCCGACCGACTGCCAGAGGGGCTGTCCTGGCTCTATGGAGGCCTGTTAATTAGCCCTGAGAGGTTGATGAACAGGGGTCGATCTTGGGTTTTCTGCAGGAGATGCTCCAGGGGGCCAGGCCAAGGGGAGCGACCTCCTTCCGGCTGCAGCAAAGCCTTCTTTGACGCTATCGGAGCCAGTCCAACCTTGGAATGAACTTAACAAAGAGAGTCCCGATACGACTGTCCATCAGGACGACGCGTTCCTTGTGGAACCGGCTGAACTGGGCAATGAAACCTTCAGGGTGGCCACTGATGCTCCGGACGTGAACAGTGGCCCTCTACAAGAACAAGAAATGGCCCCGGGAAGGCCTTCTTTGCAGCCATCCAAGCAGACAGCTGGCCAAAGAGGACTGCCCGCGTTTGGTGCTGGGCCTCCGAGGCCTTCCCAGCACTTGTGCGACATCATTTTTGCTACTCCCAAAGTCCACATACCAAGGAAGCCAGGAGCAGGAGAGAACCCTCCCTTGGAAGGCACCGCCAGTGCCGGTGCAGGCAAGGAGGTAGGCTGCCCATCTCGTGTCAGAATTGTGTTCCTTCCTTTGCCATGATTTCAGGTGGGGAAGTGTGTCTTCGAGGGTGGAAGACCTGTAAACCTCCTTCCTTCTTTGCTCAGTTGTGTGTGCCTCAGTGAGGTGCTCAAAGGGCGGAGGTGAAAACTCCTCCTGCCTTTTGTTCTAGATGCCTGATGGGGTTGTGTGTGCCTCAGTGAGGCGCTCAAAGGGCGGAGGTGAAAACTCCTGCCTTTTGTTCTAGATGCCTGATGGGAAGACCTTCCGACTCTTTGTTTTAAGACCGCATCTGTCCTGGGAGGAAGTCTTAAACCATTGTGTGCAGAAGGGTTGTAGGCCCTTGGCTGCTCTCGGGTCACCTGGTTCTTCTTCGTCCTCTCTGTGTGTGCAGGTGCAGAGATTAGGTTGTGACCTGGAAAGCAGCACAACGCTTTGCTGTAGGAGTCCTCAGCCAACCATGCAGGGGTTTTGTGTGTGTGTGTTTGGGGGGGGTGCTTCACAGACCTCCTCCATGTGTGTGTCATTAAGATGATGGCACAAGCAGCCATACATTCAGTTGCTTCTTGCTGTTCATATTTGCGCAGCTGGTTAAACCGCAGAAGCCTCTGTGCTGCAAGGTCAGAAGACCAGCAGTCGTAAGATCGAATCCCCGCGACGGAGGGAGCTCCCATCACTTGTCCCAGCTCCTCCTGCCAACCTAGCCGTTCGAAAGCATGTAAATGCGAGTAGATAAAGAGGTATCCCCAGGGTGGGAAGGTCACAGCATTCCGTGTCTAGTCGCACTGGCCATGTGACCACGGAAGATTGTCTTCGGACAAACGCTGGCTCTATGGCTTGTAAACGTGGATGAGCACCGTGCCTTAGAGTCGGACACGACTGGACTAAATGTCAAGGGGAACCTTTACCTTATTGCAAGAATGGAGAAATAGGAACCATTTTATGGGTGCTGCAAACAGGTTTCCCTTATCTAGCAGGAGGGAGTTCTGTGGGCAGGTATTAGGTGAACTAGTGTTTAAAGTCGAAAAACCCACAACAACCGTCTTGCTTTATTGTTGAAGTGGACGTTTAGGGCATCAGCCAACCAAGAGGTTAGATTTGGGTGGTGCGCTCAGGCGGAAGAATTGGTGTTCTTCTGGCCACCAGATGTTGGTGGTTGCAGAAAGATGCAGTCCTCCTTGTACTAGAACTTTTTCTTCCAGGGTAGATCCTGCTCCAAGTGGTTACAGTGGTGCCTCCACTTACAACCATCCCTACTTACGACCAATTCAAGTTATGACCAGCTCCGGCCGCAAAATTTTGCTTTGACTTGTGGCCGGAGCTTCCACTTACGAACAGAAAAAGGCAGGGGGGAAAGACAGGGAATTCAAATTGCTAACTGGAGGTGGTGAAAGAGGCTGCTTCTTTGTGGCTCTTTTGCCCTGATGGTTAGAGAGAGTGTGTCATTAGAGGCTTGGGACTGCCTCCTCCTGCTTCGGAGTGAGCGTGTGTATGTTTGCAGGGAGGTAAGGTGCTGTTTTCTGCTTTTTAAAAACTTTGGGGTGTTTTTGCAGCGTGGTTTTGGGCTGGGGGGGTTATGTTTCTGTGCTGTGATGAGTCTTGGGGGGGTTGTTTTTTTGGTCTCCCCCCATTTCCGATGGGTCCTGCATGCTCGCCTTGCTTTTTCCTTTATTTTCTGTGCATTTCCGATCTTGTCCCTCTGTTCTCTGTGCATTTCCAATCTGCTCCATTTTTTTCTGTGCATTTGCAATGGGTCTTGCACGCTTGATTGCTTTTCTCCCCCCCTCCCCCCTTCAGCCGGAAGGGATTAATCGTGTTTCCAATGAGCCTTGCAGTGATTTTTTAATTATTTTTTTTCCTTTGGCTTGAATGGATCAATAGGGTTTCAATGCATTCCTATGGGAAGTGGTGCTTCGACATATGACCATTTCAACTTACGTCCATCTTCCGGAACAGATTATGGTCGTAGGTGGAGCCGCTACTGTACTTGTAGTACTTGCAAATAAAACAGAAGAGACTACACAACAGTGTTTCCTCTTATTTAAAAAAGATTTTGGGAATTGCTTGTTCTTCAGTATCTTGCGGAGCCTTTCCTGGGCTTTTGAAGTTGATGGTGCTTTGGCCTTGACGTTCTCCCATCTGGAGTTAGCCATTTCTGTACTTTTGTGTGAAGCACTGTTGTTGTCAAGTGAACAAATGTATTCCTTGATCAGAGGCTGCTGTTTGACCACAGGTCAAAGACTCATATACATTTCTACATGTACATGTGTGCACCCGTTCCACCTGTATGGAAAACTTGTACAGGTTGAATAGGTTTCTCTGGCTGCCTGCGCACAAGTACATCGAGGCAGAGCAAGCCCAGAGCATAACATTTTGTGAACCAGTCCAGAATGGCTGCTCTTTATTCCACAAAGTGTCTTTTTATTCCAGAAAAAAACATTTTGCCTTTTTGGCCACTTGCATGCATATTCTGGATAAAGGTCTCAGAGGTAGATGCAGACGATCAATCCGTCAATCCGTTGATATTCAGGCCCCAGACAGCAGTTAAACTGTGCCTCTAGCAGCAATGGAAATGTGGTTTCTTAATGTTTTTCCTGATATATATATCTATTGTTTTTTGTGAAGGAGAGGCCAATAATATGTCTCAGTGAATGGAGAATCAAAGTGATCCAGAACAACACTGCAGTCTGCTTGGAAGGAAAACGGAGGCAAGAAACCATTTTGTTTTGTTTTTGTTTTGACGACTGTTTAAATATCTCTTTGCCTGTTTGGCTGCTCTGGAATTTGCTACTAAGCAATTTCATTGGAGGCCTCTTGAGTTTTACGGTGATGCAGGAAGCCCAAAGGATTTGTGCAGCAGAGTCAGACTGGGAAGAAGCATCGTCTTGAGATGTGGGCATCGTCTTCTTCCTTGTTTTCCGGTCCGACACACTCTGGCTTAGGGCTCAGAAAGAAAAGGGGCCACTTCTTCAGCTCAGCCTGTTGTAGTAGAAGCCTGGTTATCTCACAGAGGAGAAGACTCTAAAACATTCTGACAACCCCAGTGGCCATTCTTTTAAATGGCAGGGCAGATCTTGAGGGAAAGCGAGGTGGAGGCCGTGAGGGTTCGGTTCTTCCTTTAAATTCTTCTCCTCTGGTGCCTTGTGGAACACTCTCTTGTCCCCCTCTTGTGTTCCAGGGATATGGAAGACATTTACTGGCACAGCAACGCAATTGTGGAGCGAATGGCACATAACAAAGTGAAAACTTTATCGGGAAACGTCTACTTGTTGGAAGGGCGGATAGACGCCACCACCATGAAGAAGGAAGGTCAGGCGGGCAGGCCTGGGCCTTGGAGGAGGAGGAGGAGGCTTTTCTGGGTGGGAGGGGAGGCTGTGTCAGTTGGCATCTCAAAGGCTGGCAAGGTTTGCTTCTATAACTGTTTTCCTCCGCGAGAGCCTAACATTGATCAGATAATGCTTCTTTGGTGGAAGGGAAGATTGGAAACCTGGCTTAAATCATTTATTTGCTACATTCATATCCTGAGTTTCGTCCTGTCCGCAGGGGCTCTCCTTTCCCTCCGTTTACACTCCCCGCAACCCTGTGAGGTAGGTCAGGGCTGGCCAACGTGACTGGCACGGGGTCACTTGGTGAGTTCCGTGGAGGAGGAGGAGGGACTCGGTCCTGGGCTTCAGAAGCCGCCCTCCAGCCACTCTCGCTGCTACCCGACACGGGCTCTCCTGGAGTTATTTTTACCTTATGGGCCTCGGTTAAGATTCTCCAGGAGTTGCCTGAATACTCTCCTTTGTGCAAAGAGGCCGCTGCTCGATCTGTCAAAGGGAAATTTGTCCCTACCTGGATATATCCCCTCCCTGTAACCAGTTATCCAGACCCTGCCCACCTCCTTAAGCCTCAAAAATTGCCAAGGCTCCATTTGTGATTTCAGAATGGCGGGCCTTTCCCCCTTCCCTCTAAAGAAATGGAGAACAATCCCTGTTGTTTTGCAAGCATTTGAACAGTAGGGCTGGGATGTACCCCTCACGTGGGTAAAAAGGATACAGAAAATCTTTGTTCAAACAGGAATCCCAGCGACTTTCATCAAAAGGTTTGCGTCTGGAATTCCAAGAAACTGGAAGATGTTTGTCGATGATCTGCTCCTTCATCTCAGGAGGTGAGTGGGACTGAAGCCGTGGCACCCCCAGGTCACTGTTAAACCTCGTGCCAATAACTGGGTGGGGTATTTCAGTGCTCCAGAGTTTTTTTTTGGGGGGGGGTTTGCAGAGTCTTCAGAACAGGAAACTATGCAAGGTGGAGAGTTGTAACAGGGCTGCCCGGTGTCAGCCCCTGGCCATGTGCTCTTTGGCCCAGCCAAGGTACACTTGGGGACTGTTAATCTCACTGCATCCTGATGCAGAAGTGACAGAATCCCAAGGTTGACCCCCTTTAGGAAATGCCAGATGCCGACTTCTGTGCAAATTCTAATCCCGTTGTTTGCGTCTGTGTGCTGTAAAGATTGCCTCTGACTTACAGTGGCCCTAATAGGGTTTTTGAGGGATGTAGGAGGTTCAGAGAATGGCTTAGCCTTGTCCCACGCCTTCCCCAAGTGAGTTTCCTGGGCCAAGGAGGGATTTGAACCCAGCTCTCCTGAGCCCAATCCAGCTCTTACTTAATCTACTGCCCCACACTGGCTTCCACCCCCATCCCTTTTGATTAAACCCTTAATAATCTGGAATCCTGAGAGAGTCAGAAAATACCTCATCGTTCAATACAAGTTTTCGGTTGGTTGGTTGGTTTTCTTTTTTATTCCTGACGGATGACCATTAGGGGCATAGTCTGTCTTTTTGCCATTCGTTGCACAGAACCATCTTGAAGTCTTTTTTTCAAGAACCCTGTACAAGACGAGCCGGGGAGAGCCTGGCATCCTCTGTCCTTGCTGTGTTCGTGTTAAAAATGGCCTTGGGCAATGGTCACTCTTTCCAGCCCCCCTTTGTTGGCCGAACGAGCGTTTCCTTGTCAGAGGCCCGCGATAGTCCCGTGGACTCTTCTTATCTGTATTGGTTTTTCTTCTCCTGGGAGAGACCAAGGAGTGGGCTTTCTTTGTCTGTTTTATGGGCGTTCAGGGCTTGGGCCTCGGTGGCGTTTGGGAGGTGGCAGGACGCCAGCAGCACCACGAAGAGCCCCAAATCAAGGGGTTGTCAGAAGGCAGCCCCTTCAGAATCGCTGCGGATGCCACCCTCTTTGAACATTCCACATACTTCTGGCTCCTGAAGGATCCTGTCTGGGAGGTGCTGGGGGAAGAATCCTGTCACTCATTCCTGCCAGCATAACTCTGACCGTGCCACTTTTTGCAGTGAATTGCCACCAGTGAAGAAGCTGACCCCTCTCTCTTCTTGTCACGCAGCAAGCAGTTGCATGACAGACCAAACAAATGCTGATTTCTTCACGGGTGGCAGTTTGCACCCTAGCCGTTGCACCAGCATAAGCAAATATGTAAGAGGATTCTGGCAGTGCATTATTAGTCTTTTCTTCCAAAATTACTGGATACTAGGAGAGACCGGAGAACTATCCATTTAAGTGAGAAGAGCAATGAAAGAGAGGATTCTGTGGAAACGGAGGATTTGGGACGGGAAGATCTGCCCCGGAATATGGAGGAAGCGTCTAAAATGAAGAATACGACTTATGAAGTAGTGGAACTGAAGAGTACCAAGAAGCTTGGTAAGTGTATCCTTCCTTGGCTCCACCTTGGTGTCCCTAGCATTTTCTTCTAATAGCCAGTTTTTACAGCTTGTTCCTGGGGCTTTCTTCAAGAGCCATCCATTCCAGAATTGTTTTCTGGCTACATTTTGCAGAAAGCTATTTCAAAATCTAGCATCCTCCCCCAGCGACTCCACTTCTCCTCCATCCTCAGCCGGGCTCTCTGGTCCCTGCTCCCTGTCCTGCTGTTTGCTTGTTGTGTCTCAGGCCACGTTGGCTGAGGAGAAATGGGATCCACTGAGTCTTTTCCAAGGAGTTTGGGTGGACTTGTCTATTAAATTATTTTCAAGTATGTGCTTGGCTGTGCTGATCGTCCAGAGTGCCTCCATTTACTTCCTGGCGCACGTTCTACAGAATTTCCCATCTAAGAGAAACAAGATGCTAGGCCTGGGGACTTTTGCAGGGGGGTGGGGAGGTGTTTTTGATTTTCATTTTTCTCAGATTTTCTCAGCTCACGGTTGGCCAGCTGAAGGAATCTGGACCCTTGAAAGCTTTTGAGTTTTTCCTTCAGAAAGCAGAGCCAGCCATGATTTTCTTCCCTTCTTCATTGGGCTGTAAGGTTTTTGGAAGGCAAGGTCCGGGAGTGCTTGGCGCTGGCTGTTGTGAGCGAAGCAGGCTCTGTGGGCGAAGCAGGCCCTTCTGAACCCAGCCGCCAGGCTGCCGGGATAAGCTTCAGGTGTGGAGAGTGGGGACACATGAAAGCAAACTGCCTCCTGTGCTGGATTTACGGGGAAGAGTCCCTGAATGCAAGCATTGAATGTGGCTGGAAGCATCCTGCGGTGTGTGCCTTTTCTTCCTGTGTGTCGGCTGCTTGGCAGCCTTTTTGTAGGGTTCCTGAGCAGAGTAAGAGAGCATGCTGAGGTTTTAGGTGTACATGAATGGGACACCCCTTCCTCTTGGAATGAAAAGTCCTGTTCCGTGAAAGTGTTTGGTCTTGGCTTTCTGTCCGTCGAGAGTCTTGCCCTGTGAAGGGCTGCAACCCGCCTGTGTGCTTGCTTGCCTTCTCTGCTTTGTGCGGCAGCTGCCCTGATGCCCAGGCTCTGGGGGAGTGGAGGAGGAGGAGGAGGAAGAAGAAGATGTCAGAAAGCAAAGCCAGCCATGATTTTCTTCCCTTCTTCACCTGGCTGTAAGGTTTTTTGGAAGGCAAGGTCCGGGAGCGCTTGGCGCTGGCCGTTGTGGGCGAAGCAGGCTCTGCAGATGGCCCTTCCGAATCCAGCCGCCAGGCTGCCGGGAGATGCTTCAGGTGTGGAGAGCAGAGTTTAATGCGTTCCTATGGGGTTTTCCCCCTCACATAGCGATGTTTCCGGATAGCAGTGTTAATCCTGGAACGGATTAACGTCGCTATGCAGGGCACCACTGTAGATGCTTCTTGGTGAAGGAAAATTCCTTTCTCTTTTTTGTTCTCGGTAGGTCAGCCGCGAAAAGCACCCTCTGTGCAGAATGACCACAGCACCAGTTTCACCCGCAGTGGCCGCCGTGTGAAACCCCCCCTGCAGTTCTGGTGTGGCGAACGGATTCTTGTGGACCAGGCGTTGAACATCACGGTGACCAAAGGGAGCACCAACTACTTGTCTCCTGTAAGACCGGGTTTTTCTTTGGATATTCATCACTGTTGAAAATGGGTACCGGGGGTGCTTTTGGCATGGATGAGACAACGCAGGCAGAAGCTGGCAAGACAAGAGAGGTCTGTCTTGAGGACTGATCGGAAGGGAGGTGTGCAGCCTGTCATATGCGGGGCAGGGGGGGAGTGTTGAAATGTCTCAAGGTGGTCTTGATGGACAAGACCTTGGTGGCCAAGAGTGCCTCGAGTTGCCTCATTCACCAGCTCTGGGCCCATCCAATAAAAGCGTTCCTCACCTCTGGGACAGGCTGAATTGTCCTGACCTGCTCCCTGTGGGGCCACAAGCTCCATTGGTTAGCTGGGGGAGCACCGAGTAAGCTGGTGGGTCGGCATGGTGGTCATTCAGAACACGTTCCCCATTTCTGTACTAGTTTCACCGGCCCCGTCTTCTGTGTCTGGGTGTGACCTAAAGGCTGGTTTTAAACCGGTAAAGCCTCCAGAGGTCTAGGTCCAGGTTTTTCTGATTGATAGCTGGTCTCCCAAGCCTGGCAAGTCCATCACTGAGGTCCTGCTCTTTGCCTAGCCTGCCATGAGTGACAGGAACAAGGCCTTTTCCGACGTGGCCGCTGGCCCTGCACTTAGGCTGTGGGGCTCCCCCAGGAACGGCAAGCCCCCCTCCCCCAGGGTGCATTGTATGGCTGGCTGCTCTTGAGGCATTAACGGCCACTGCTCAGCTTTTAGGGAGGGAGGTGTAAGTGGGTGATTATCTTCATATAGTGGTTGTTGTGGGTTTTTCGGGCTCTTTGGCCATGTTCTGAAGGTTGTTTCGCCAGTCTCTGTGGCAGGCATCTTCAGAGGACAGCAAATTGTGCTCTGGATTGCTGTCCTCTGAAGATGCTGGCCACAGAGACTGGTGAAACGTCAGGAAGAACAACCTTCAGAATACGGCGGCTTTTAGGGAGGGAGGTGCAAGTGGATGCTTATTTTCATATACTTTTTATTATTAGTGTCTCTTGATAAAGTCTTGTACCCCATCTTGAATTGGCAGTCGTGCCCTGAAAAATGGTACATGGACCAGAAAGCAAAACTGTTATCAGGCCATCAAATTAGCAGTACATGAGTCTTGAGCTTTTGGCAGATTGAGAGGGGGAAGCTTGCTCTGGGGCATGCCAGCTGCTCTTCACGACTTTGAATGCATGGGAAGGTGAAAGGAGCGGGCGGGCTGAGGGGCCACCGGAGCATTTCGCCGATACCTGGCCTCTTTGCTCTGCGAGGACAGTCTGTGGTGAAGCCGGCCCTGTCTATTGCACAGGGGGGAAAGCTCTGTGACCTTTTCGACTTTGCGACAGAGCTTAAAAAGTGCACTTTGGGCTGAGTGACGTTGCCTGGAGGTCCATCGTCAGTTCTCTGTTGCTTACGTGCGGGTTGCCTCGTTTCTTAGATAGTGAGCAGCAGACGACCTCAGAGCAGGGGAAATTGCACCTCGTCAAAGGAAGACGAAACGGGCCACCTGAAGGCCCCCAAGGAAGCATCTCCGAGCCAAGCTCAAGGTAAAAAGCGTTTGCACCCCCATCGGTGTGTTTTCCTCCAAGGCGCAGCAGCCTTTAGGATGGGAGTCCTGAGAGGTTGGGGGTGGGAGAGTTGGCTTCCTCCTGAGAAGAACTTCCTTGGGTGGACGAGGAGGAGCTTCTTGTTCACATTGACAGCTTGAGTGCTGCCAGAGGGTTAAGAAGGTTTCAGGTCGGATGGGCTAACCACCATCTGGGTGGGACGGGGCAGGTGGGGAGGAGGCTGGCGTGTGCCCTCCTCTCTGCCCGTGGCTGACTTTTCTCAGGCGGTTCTCAAAAGGTGCCTGGGCTTCTCTATTGAGGCTGGGGAGCTGGGCTCGACGGCCTTTGGTGTCGTCTGAGCAGCTGGGATGTGGGCCAGAATTTCACCAGGGTATTTCTACTTTGATTTCCTCTGGCCATCAGCAGAGCCTCAAGGCGCGACACTTCCATCAATACAAACCAACAGATATTGATGGCTATAAATAAAATAATAAAGAGGTTGGGTGGAGGGGAGAGACTGAGACCATGCCAAACAGCAAACCATTTATATACAACACATTACCCTGGTTGGTTAAAAAGCGTAAGAGGAAGGGGATCTCTCATGCTAGGCTTCCGGATCTTCGTTCCACTTGGTCAGCATTGCTTCCATTTGCAAGTCTCTCCTCAGCAAAGGGATCATATAGCTTAGTTTCACTGTAGCCGGCCTCAAACAAATATCTGTTTTCAAATGTGAGGTTGTACAAATCTCATATTCGATATTTCAAATACGATATTTGTAAAAAAAACCTCACATTTGCATAAACAAATGTTTTACATATCAGCATAAACATGTCAGCATAAACATTTCAGAAGCACACAGCCTCTGAGCTCTATATACGAATGCCAGGAGTATGGGAAACACATGAGAAGAACTGGAAATCTGTTCTCAGTCATCCCAGAGTGCAGGACACGCAACCATGGGCTCAAGTTACAGGAAGCCAGATTTAAGCTCAATATCAGGAAAAATCCTCTTAACTGTTAGAGCAGTACGACAATAGAGCCAATTACCCCGAGGGGTGGTGAGCGCTCCAATGTTGGAAGCCTTCAAGAGAAATTTAGACAGCCACCTGGCAGATATCCTTTGATTTCTATTCCTGCCTTGAGCAGGGGGTTGGACTCGATGGCCTTATAGACTGCTTCCAACTTTGTTATTCTGTAATTCTATGAAATACATATGACTTGACAGGGGTAAGTGAAACTTGGTGGGATGGTTCGCATGACTGGAATACAACAATTGAGCCAGTGTTAATGAACTCAGAGCAATGATAGGAATGGTCCCATGGCAGGAGATCCTAACAGGGAGTTCAAGAAGGTTGGGAGCTTGTTAAAAAGGAAAGGCTAAAGCACAACTACAAACAGTTCCAACAGGACAAAAAGATGGAGGGCAGCAAATAAGGTCTATATGGCTTCACAAAAAGCTGAGAGAGGACCCCAAACCAAAGAAAGGACACATATAGGCAGTGGAAGGAAGGCCAGGCTGCAAAATAAGAGTACAGACAAGTAGGAAGGAATTGCAGGGATGGCATTAGCCAGGCAAAACCTGAGAATGAGCTGAGGGTGGCAAGAGATGCTAAAAGCAACAACAAAAAAGTATTCTTCAGGTAGATGTCAAGAAACAGACAGAAAAGAAACAATGGCTCAGCTCCTCAATGGCAATGGGGGAACAGGACAAAGAAGAAGGTTCGTTTTCGTTTCGTTTAGTCGTGTCCAACTCTTCGTGACCCCATGGACCAGAGCACGCCAGGCCCTCCTGTCTTCCACTGCCTCCCGGAGTTGGGTCAGATTCATGTTGGTCGTTTCGCAGACACTGTCCAACCATCTCATCCTCTGTCGTCCCCTTCTCTTCTTGCTTTCACACTTTTCTAACATCAGGGTCTTTTCCAGGGAGTCTCCTCTTCTCATGAGTTGGCCCAAATATTGGAGCCTCAGCTTCAGGATCTGTCCTTCCAGTGAGCACTCAGGGTTGATTTCCTTTAGAATTGATAGGTTTGTTCTCTTTGCAGTCCAGGGGACACTCAAGAGCCTCCTCCAGCACCACAATTCAAAGGCATCAATTCTTCGGCAGTCAGCTTTCTTTATGGTCCAGCTCTCACTTCCATACATTACGTGGGGAGGAGGCTGGCGTGTGCCCTCCTCTCTGCCCATGGCTGACTTTTCTCAGGCGGTTCTCAAAAGGTGCCTGGGCTTCTCTATTGAGGCTGGGGAGCTGGGCTCGACGGCCTTTGGTGTCGTCTGAGCAGCTGGGATGTGGGCCAGAATTTCACCAGGGTATTTTTACTTTGACTTCCTCTGGCCATCGGCAGAGCCTCAAGGCGCGACACTTCCATCAATACAAACCAACAGATATTGATGGCTATAAATGAAATAACAAAGAGGTTGGGTGGAGGGGAGAGACTGAGACCATGCCAAACAGCAAACCATTTATACACAACACATACCCCGGTTGATTAAAAAGCGTAAGAGGAAGGGGATCTCTCATGCTAGGCTTCCGGATCTTTGTTCCGCTTGGTCAGTATTGCTTCCGTTTGCAAGTCTCTCCTCAGCAAAGGGATCATATAGCTTAGTTTCACTGTAGCAGGCCTCAAACAAATATCTGTTTTCAAATGTGAGGTTGTACAAATCTCATATTCGATATTTCAAATATGATATTTGTAAAAAAAACTCACATTTGCATAAACAAATGTTTTACATACCAGCATAAACATTTCAGAATCACACAGCCTCTGAGCTGGCAGAAGTATGGGAAACACATGAGAAGAACTGGAAATCTGTTCTCAGTCATCCCAGAGTGCAGGACACGCAACCATGGGCTCAAGTTACAGGAAGCCAGATTTAAGCTCAATATCAGGAAAAATCCTCTTAACTGTTAGAGCAGTACGACAATAGAGCCAATTACCCCGAGGGGTGGTGAGCGCTCCAATGTTGGAAGCCTTCAAGAGAAATTTAGACAGCCACCTGGCAGATATCCTTTGATTTCTATTCCTGCCTTGAGCAGGGGGTTGGACTTGATGGCCTTATAGACTGCTTCCAACTTTGTTATTCTGTAATTCTATGAAATACATATGACTTGACAGGGGTAAGTGAAACTTGGTGGGATGGTTCACATGACTGGAATACAACAATTGAGCCAGTTTTAATGAACTCAGAGCAATGATAGGAATGGTCCCACGGCAGGAGATCCTAACAGGGAGTTCAAGAAGGATGGGAGCTTGTTAAAAAGGAAAGCCTAAAGCACAACTACAAACAGTTCCAACAAGACAAAAAGACGGAGGGCAGCAAATAAGACCTATATGGCTTCACAAAAAGCTCAGAGAGGACCCGAAACCAAAGAAAGGACACATATAGGCAGTGGAAGGAAGGCCAGACTGCAAAGTAAGAGTACAGACAAGTAGGAAGGAATTGCAGGGATGGCATTAGCAAGGCAAAAGCTGAGAATGAGCTGGGGTTAGCAAGAGATGCTAAAAGCAACAACAAAAAAAGCATTCTTCAGGTAGATGTCACGAAAAAGATAGAAAAGTAACTATGGTTCAACTCCTCAGTGGCGATGGGGAAACAGAGGACAAAGAAGAAGGCAGAAGGGCTCAATTCCAGCTTCAGCGCGTCTTCTCTCAAAAGACAGGCTTTACTCCTCCAGGCAAGTGTGAAGAACAAAGAGAGGGGACAGGATTGCAGCCCGAGATTGATAAAATAGTCAAGAAATACCTTATTTCTCTGAATGAGTTCAAATCTCCAGGACTAGAGGAACTGCCTCTAGCAATTTTGAAGGAACTGGCTGAACAAATTTCAAAACCGTAGTCTTAACTATTTGCTTGAAATCATGGAGGATGAGTGAAGTGACTGAAGGAGGGCTAAGAAATACACTGTTACAAGATGGGGGGGGGGGGACTT